CAAACAGAATCAAACAACAAACAAACAAAACAAACAAACAAATCAAACCCCCAAAAATCAAGCAAACAAAACAAACACACAAACAAACAAACGAACAAGACCCATCAACTCACCCGCCGAGCAGGGAGGCCCCAGAATGAGGTCAGGGTCGAAATCTTTCCTAGCGTCCACAGCCGCGGCAAGAGCAGCCTTAGGGGTACACTTGGAGTCGTACCACTTGACGCTGAAACACAGGAAGTTAGGGTAAGGGTAAGGGTAAGGGTAAAGGTAAGGGTAAGGGTAAGGGTAAAGGTAAGGGTAAGGGTAAGGGTAAGGGTAAGGGTAAGGGTAAGGGTAAGGGTAAGGGTAAGGATAAGGGTAAGGGTAAGGGTAAGGGTAAGGGTAAGGATAAGGGTAAGGGTAAGGGTAAGGGTAAGGGTAAGGGTAAGGGTAAGGGTAAGGGTAAGGGTAAGGGTAAGGGTAAGGGTAAGGGTTATGGTAAGGGTAAGGGTAAGGGTAAGACCACGTTAAGAACGGACGACACGACAACTGAAATCATCCGTGTTATGTCGTCCGTGATAACGACCGACCACGTTAACAACGGACAATTTCCACGACATTCTATCGTCAGACATGGCGGCGTGTACCAGGAGAAAGAAGTTGTTGTTGTTTTTGTTATGGTTGAGGAGGAGACAGAAGAGACAACGACAACGTGATAAAAATAATAATATGGCATTCACCCAATATTGAGACAGTGTGAGACTCTCGTTGAATTTCATCATTATACACGCAATTGTTGGGAGACGATGAACAATTTCATCATTAGCCTATACCAGCAATTGTTGGGATACGATGAACAATTTCATCATTTATACCCGCATTTGTTGGAAGACGATGAACAATTCTTCAGCTATTTTCGAATGAAACCCAGTGGTTTCAACGAACTTTTGGAGAAATGCAGGGATTCATGTTTGCGATATACAAAGGGTAAGACCACGTTACGGATGGACGGCACGACAAAACGGACAACGATTTGTAGTTTGAAGATAAAACAAAACAAAGAAGGGAATAAAGTAGAACAAAATCGTTTTGCCATACCATGTTGACACCGGCACAATTTTCCAGGTCACGGGCGACACGATTCCCAGAGATCATGTTTCAAATTTTTTGTCCGTCATGACGACTCAGAAAGCGCACCAGAAGCTTGAACCAGAGAAGGTTTACAATAACATTACTTTAAAACTTTCTGCTTGAATCACATGCCAAAAATTATCTCGCGCACAGATATGTAGGGGCTTGTCTTTGAAGACGGGTGAAGGGGGCTAGGCTACTACATATTGGTTAAAAACTAGACACATAAAAGACGAGATAACAAATTTATTGTTTTTCTAGGTTCTATAGCTGTGTATCTTTGAAGACTCACCATAACTTAATTGGCAGGCCTGTTCATTCAAAATTGATCATTCGCTCCCTTCCCTTCCCCTCCTCCTTTATGGGTGAAGCTGCAGCGTTGCTTCCATGTGCATACGGCCCATTCTTCTTATCCCCCCCTCGCCCTTCTCCTCCTCAGTTTTCGATAAAAAAAAAACCTCACAACTTTCCTCTCACTCTCTCAAGTTATCCCACTGTAAAACTGAGTTCAGTAAAGTGTGGGGTAAGGTCCTTCTTTGTCCCTACAAATGTTGCTGCTGCTATCGCCCGCTACCGTGTGGTATGTGGTCAAGATTTTAGATTTACAGTGGAGTTGTGTCCTCCTTTGTCCCTATAACTGTTGCTGCTACTTTCGCCAGCAACCGTGATTTACAGTGGGGTTGGTTCCTTCTTTGTCCCTATAACTGCTGTTGCTGCTACTTTCGCCAGCAACCGTGATTTACAGTGGGGTTGGTTCCTTCTTTGTCCCTATAACTGTTGCTGCTACTTTCGCCAGCAACCGTGATTTACAGTGGAGTTGTGTCCTTCTTTGTCCCTATAACTGCTGTTGCTGCTGCCCTCGAGCGCTTCTTGGTGTCCACACGACCTAACAAAGTTGACACTGGCGTAAAATATACAGATGTAATAACAGCTGGACCAATTCTTTCCACCTCGACCTGGCCAAGGCAATCATCTGTACAAACGACCACATCCCACCCCCCCACCCCACCTCCGTCCTGTTTAATCTGTCTTATAATGACTCTGCCTAAAACGACAATTTCACTCCCTGGCAATGATAAATGGTCTTGTTTAGTTTTAGTAACAGACTTTCTGGCACATGCATCACAAATAGGAAAAAAGAGATCAGAGATGT